TCCATATCACAGAAAGCTCTTGTACCCAAACTGACAAACCCTGAAGTTCTTCTGCTGACTGTAGATATTTGTATGCCATGTCCTGCAAGACAGAGAAGTCCTGAAGCTGTGTCCTCATCCCTGGTTGAACACAGGGCAAATAAATGCAAAGGTGACACTGCTTCCTTGGCTGCACAGGCTGGAGGAGGCAGTGATCCCCCTCCCCATGAGCATCAGGAGGCACTTCCCGAGCAGTGTCCTGACCAGGGAGGCAGACAGGGTAATTTAAACAAACAAGGCCCCAGTGATGGAAATTTCAAGCTCAAAGGTACCATATGGAGGGAAATCATCTGACCACAATTTACCTGTTAGACTTCAAAGGTGTCTAGGTCTCCTCTAAATAAAAGCAGTCTTTTCTTTAATGAAGTTAAGTACTGTATTTCAGCACCATGTGTTGTGAAAAGGAAGCAATTTGGATTAATTTACTGAAACTTACCTTTCAGATGCAGTTAAGTGGAATTAAAAGTTTGTCTAAGTTGACAGAGTTCTGTTTTCCATCACTGCATTGTCTTGAAAGAAAGGATAACAGGCTAAGTGCTTAAATTCCATCCAAACTGATAAGGTTCACTCTGTACAGGCAAACTCAGTGTAGTTTATTACGTATTGTCTCCCTTCATCCATCACTGCTATACATTTTTTTCCTCCTAAAACAACTGCTTCTTCCAAAATAAATTGATATTTGTGATGTTATTGCATTCATCTGGGGTTGAACAGTCTGCACTGGGCTATCAGAGAGCTGCCATTTCTACTTACAGGGAGAATTAATTTCATTTCCCACTCATGGTAGCTTTTGCAGGGCTGAGCTTACATCTGGGACGAGAATTTTTTTTTCTCTTCTGAGAACAATTCTTTGTCCTTAATTTTTTTCCTGTTGAAGCGTGTGTGTCCCTACCCTCTTTCCAAACAGCACCTTCACCCAGATTTCTTCCTTGGCAGCGGGAATTAACTTGCCCATTGCATCCTTTCTACATTTTTTCTTCCCACCACTGTACTTCTCTCTTTCACATCCCCTAGCTGCCATTGCTCCTTCCAAACCTCACTCCTTCCCTAACGCCCTCCCAGTTAATAACTGCCCTCCCTCCTTTTTCCCAGGAGCTTCCCTCCCTCCTTGCCTTAGGTTCCAGGATAACTCCCCCCAGCAGCTGGGAGAGGTTCTCTGTTCTGGACAGGTTTTGTTGGCAGCCTTGAGCCATTTGCCTGCTACAGCAAAGGTGCAATCCTGACTTGCCCTTCACTGACCGCTCTGAAACCTCACAGGCATTTCTCTGTTCTTTCAATTAACTGAGCATCTCATCATGAAAAGCCAGTGAATGATCTGTAATTAATTATTTATATTACATGGGGAAGCCTAGCTAACACAGTGTCAACAGAAACAATGATACTCTGTATGCCAAACTGCAGCCCTGCAGCCTGAGGGTTTTGTCTCCCCTCCCTGCTGCCCCAGCTGGATTTTGGCTATGGGAGGTAGCCAGGGTTTGAGTCTTGTCTAAGTTCAAATTTCTCCCAAGGACAGACTTCAGATCTGCACATTTCTGCAAAATCAAGTAGTTGAAGAAAAAAAATCTTGCTACTTGAATCTCCATTCAATTTTGATTCTTGACAAGCCATTTCAAACAGAAACTGCAGTCAGGCAGGACTTTTTCAGTTTGTTTAGATTTTGGGGGAAGGAGGCAGAAGGGAGAGGAAACCACACATTTCATCAGCATTTTTTATTTTTTAATAGTCTTCAGTGCAGCCAATTACCCAGGAGATCAGCAAATCTTAGCTCTGTCAAAGACAGGGAGGAGGCAGAGCAGAAGCTTTCTCATCCTCCACAGCAGTACTAAGCCTCCAACACACAAATCTAAACACTGTCCACCCAGGGGTGCCAACTCAAATGCCTCAGCTGTGAAGACAGAACAAAAAGAAAAAGACAATCTCCAAGGTACAACTGAAAGTAAACACTAATAATGATGTGTGGCATTAAATGATGACTCATTTTTCACAAGGCCATTTCAGATTGTAGCCATAACCTTGGATCAGACCCGAATGACTGTGAGAGCTGAAGTCTTAGTGGAACCATTAATTATGGATTTCCTGGCTTTTATAGGTTGGAGTCAGACCTTTGATGTTCCTTTAAGATTGTTCTCCTGTGTTCATTTCCTTTGTTTCTGTGTTGGTAGCTTAAGAAAACACCCTAAGATTTCCATGGAAGTGTATGAGATCGCCTAGAAATGCGTAGTCCATAAAAGCCCTGCAATTCATGGCTCATAAAGTCCTCTAATCCATGGTCAATAAAGCTTTGGAAAAGAGCTGTATGAACCAGAGTCATTTCACAGTTCAATGAGGTTCATACAGGAATCAATAACCTGGTTTAAATTCGCCTGGATTTGTCCTCCACCTGCATATTTCTCTTTGAGTTTTCAGGTTGAAAGGCAGCTCCAACAGCTGAATCCTGGGGACCTGGCATGGAAACAATGAGTTCTATGCAGCTTTCCCCCAAAAGCCGTGACAAAGACCTAAATCCCTCTACTTTGTCTCAAAGGTGAACAATTCAAGTTTCAGGTGACAACTGGAGAGTTAGGGAACTGGAAGAACAGCCATTTGGAAATACGGGGCCATAGCTCAAGCTAATACTAAATGCAGAGACCTCAGTCCATACAGAACATGGGGGACTCCACCTGAAGTGTAGGCAAATTCACTGTGGATTTTTGGGACAGGCCAGAGTGAGAACTCCCTAGTACACCAACTACCCTTCAAAAATGAGTGCTAAGTCTGAATTATTGAGGTAATGAAAAGAAGTCCATGTTTCTCTCCTGCACAGGTAACGCTCTATTGCCTGTATGATCAGCCACCCTGCTTGTTTCCTCCCAAAAATGATCACCGCACAAGGTCTGGTCATAGACACACACTTCTGCTCTTTTCTTGCCAATCAGAAAGGAACCAGTTGGAGAGAACTCACTGTTTATTGCTTTGTGCAGGGTCCAGCTTGCAATTAATGCTGATGAAACCCAACTGCCAAAAGCACAATATGCAGCAGCTGGTTTATGAAAGTTGAGACCCCATCCAATTTATGGGAAAACCAGAGCTGGTTGTGAGTCCCTGATTTAGTGAACTTCTATTTTTTGTGTTTTGTTTTGCTTTGTTTCCAGGAAAACACCAGAAGTTACTCCAGAACTGTAGAAGCACTAAAACCATCTGAAAGCACTAAGGCAGGCTTCCCTTCTTCCAGCCTTTCCTCATTTCTAGGCCTGTGATCTCCCACTAATATCTCCCTGGGATCTTTCAGCAAGGCAGGCAACCCACAGTGTCTGGTTCATCACCAGCATGGTGGGAGCAGAAACTTGTGTTTCCTCACCCCAATCTCCACCCTTATGAAATGGAAATAGAGGGATAAAAGGCTTTGATTCAGGTGAAATCTCACAGGAGCACAGAGCAAATAATTTAACTCTAACCTTCAGAACTACCTCTTAAATCCTTTTCCTATGAACATTTAATAAAACCAGCAAAAGGCTCAAAAACCGTAAGCACCACTTTAAGTTCCCAACTGCATATTTCCACTGCCAATATCCAATATGCTTTCTGGATAGATAGGATAGGGGTAGAAGGATTGTGCCCAAGTACCAGGCTCCCACCAGACCTATTTAAACACCTCACTTGTACAACACATGAGGAACTGGACCACAGACCCTTGTGAAATGCTGGGACATCATGGGACACCACAAGTCAGCAGCCTCCAGTCAGGACAGAAAAATCCCTTGTATTTGAGGCAATCAGCTGTGGTGAACCAAATGCCACCTAGTTCATGCCTAAACATCCTCTGTGGAGGGGATCCAAGCACTGAATACACTTTGAAAAGAAAATACATGAATCCTTCTTACAAGGCTGGCACTGACCTCAGAAACAGCCTTATTACATTAAGATTAATATGCACCACCTTAATAGCAACCCTTACATCATTCACCCTGAGAAAACAATAAACTACAAAAAATGAGGTAACTGCTCCATTAAAAAGAATGAAAAAAATAGTAATAATAATAAAAATCTGAAAACACAAATATGTGAAGCTTTTTTTCTTAGCAAAGGGAGAAATCTCTGAGAGACTTTCAAGGAATTTAAGTGCTATGAAAATGGGAATACGTAATGCTCAAAGATAATTATTATATGTGTAGGTGAGCAATCAGTTCCCAACATATTACTTAGTTCCTTTTACTTGTTAGAAGATCAATAAACATTGTGGCTGTTTATCTGCCCATGGTTTGGCCTGGATAAAGGCACTAAGAGCTTTAGAGGTGGGAGAATAAATTGCCCAGGAATCCTAAAAGCACACATTGAGAAGCCCTGGTCAAACATGAAGGCTCTTATTCAAACATTGAATGGGAGTTTTTAACCTCAGACCAAGATTGGAATAGCCATGGAAAAGTGCCTACCTCCATTCTCTTCACATAGAGGATTTAGTTAAGTACTTCATTTTGCTTCAGTTTGCTACTTTCAGATCAGTCTGAGATGTTAAAACATTTCAGCCCCACAACATAGTTAAGAAGGTTGAAAGTTAGATTTGTCAGAAACTTTAGAAACTCTCAGGAATATTCTGTATGGTTGGAAAATAGGCAAGCCTTTGTGATGAAAACTGCTGGTACAGATAGGAAAAGAATTATTGGAAGAAAAAGGACAAGTACAGAGTATTTTCTATTGTTGTTTTTTTCTTGCTTTTCAGTCTGACAAGTCTTTGTTTCAGTGTATTTTAAATATTTTAAGCATTAACTCTTTTTTTCCTATTTAGTTTTTTATCAAACTTGCCTATGAACACGCTTATTTTCCTCCTAGCTCTTCATTAGGCTACAAAAACATCATCTCACTCCCTGTGTCTCCCAGTTAGCCTTTGTCCAACCCTCCCTATGCAGCAAGAGCTGGGATCTGCAAAGAGCATCAAGTTAGGAGCCAGCAGGAAGAGGACAGGGACCACAGCAGTCATGACTCACCTGTCTTCTATCCGAACCCAGAGGTCATTGAACTGCCTCTGGCGATGGTGTTTGTGCTGCTTCTTGTGCCATTTCTTCTGCCTGCCAAACTCCTCCAGCTGGCTGATGCTGTCGGGCAACAAGAGGTGAGGAGACAGGCTGTCCACATTGTCCATCTGCGGTGGCTTCAGGGAAGGAGATGCCAGTGGGACCTGCTCAGAAAGCTGGACAGGGGGCAGGGCTGTCACTGAGAGTCCCTCCAAGGCTGGGCTTGTCTTTGTCGTCCTGGAACTGCAAAACACAACATTTAACTATGAGTAAATGAGGAAAGGTGCCAAAACAAAGCTGAAAGCAGAAGACTGCACTGCTTGGTGGGTGCCCCTGACTGCTGAGAAGGTGCACAAGGCTTTTGCTCTGGGGCAGCAAGTAAACACAGCACTGGCATTTCATAGGAAGCTTTCAAGTAAACACTTAACTGAAAATCAGGGAAAAGGCAACAGATACTCTATTGCTGTTTTCTGGCATCTTAATGGCTTCTTAGAGACCTTAGTCTGTGGTAGGGGTTCCTCCCCTGCTGGACTGAAAGTCGAATAACAAAACTCTCTCCAAGATATTAAATGACTCTCTTATAGGAAAACAGATACCTGAAGAGAAGCTGATATGAAATTAATGAGATAACACAAGTTATCTCATTACCTCTTTTTGGTGGTGTTGTTTTTTTTTTTGGGGTGTTTTTTTTTTTTTTTAATGGCAACAAGAATTATATCTCCTCATCCAGTCAGGACTGGGGACAAGGAGGCCTAGGCTGATGACAGAAGCATGGAAGCTTGGCAGCTGGGATGGGATATGTGAGACCTGAACTCCAGCAGGTAATGAAGAAAAAAGGGGAAATGACCTGTCCAAAGCCTCCTTGAAACAATTCTGCCAGAGCCCTTCAATCCTGTCTGAAGTATTACCATCTCTTGTACATGACTGGAATGATGCAGAAAAAGGCCTTTTATTTTCATCTTCTAGAGTTTCACTGATTTTAGAAGAAAGTCAATATAAACTCTCTCCTTTGGTATGCAGCCATGTGAACTTATTGTGAGCTAAGACAGCTGAAACAAAAAACTAATAAACCGGGACTGACATAAAGTTATTTTTCCCCCCTAACTTCAGTAGAAGTTCATATTGAGTCTTAATTGCAAGAAATTTTCCTGTCCCTGGGATGGGCGAATGAGTTGTACATACAGAAAATGGGAGAGAATTAATAGGCAATATGAAGCTGTGGTCTGCAAAACTATTTCTATTACATGGATGCTATGACTTTTATGACAGAAACAATTAAAGCCACGTGAAAAATTTTGCCTCCTGAGTGAAACCAGTAAGACATTTTAATGAAAAAGTAATAAAAAATCCTAAACTTCATTGGTGACAATGTACAAAATGTACCGCAAGTGAAACCACATGTTTCATTTATGGAACATTTTGTTCTCTTCCAAAAAAGTCACATCTACTACTAATGAAAGCTTTTTTTCTTTTTGACTTTCTTTAAGTCTGTTACAATACCAGTCTTGATGGTCACCTCTATTTCCACTGCATTGTGTTTCATCCGAAAGTCTTTCCAATACCTACTGATAATTAATTATTGTTACTATGAGACTCACTGGCAGATACTACAGTCACTTTGTCACTTGTAGCCAACATCCATGAAGTTCTTCAGAGATCATACAGCGGATAGAGGAAAAAAAGAAAGTTTTCTAGAACTAATTCTAAAATTCTTCATGGTTGGTTTTATTAATAAAATACACAAGAAAATCCCTTTTCTTTTTTCTTTTCCCAATCATTCAGACTCCCAGTGAGTCCTTTCCAAACTCATTCATGCTTACTCCATGCTCTATTATATATCACAGATAGATCTGCTGGTTCTAAATTTTTTCCCCATTTTCATGTTTCGTGTTGAGGGTGAATATTCCCCAGTGCAGCAGTTTCCTTTGAGAGCTCTTGGTGCTCTCCAAAGCCTTTAGGAATTCCTCAGCTATGGCACAGGCTCATGGCTTAAACAAAGCCATGTCCTGACTCTGTAAATGAAGAGGCGCTCACAGGTTTGCACTGGGGGGGTCTCATAGGCAACAGCAGAGATTTCTTAATTTTTATCCAACCATGATGGAGGATCAGCAAAGCATCAACATCCAAATGCAGCCATTTAGCAGCTTGGAGGATAACACAATGTGAACTTGGACAGGAGAGTTTAGACAGGTAGGATGGACCTGGACCAAGCACCCACAGACACCATGTGGGTGCTGAGATGGCAGCAGAGACCAATGGCTGGCAGGAAGCCACTGGAACCGAGCTGTAGCCAAAATTTCTGTTTCCATTGACTTCCTTCTCTGTGCTTCGTGCTCTGATCAGTCAGCAACTCCCTGAGATGCTGCAGGCAGGAGCAGCCCCCATGTGCCAGCTCAAGGCTGGGGCTGCTCTTTGATTCCTTGAGTGGTCTTAGGGATATCTGAACACGTACTTTCCACCTTTTAACACCTACTATTTTCTTACACGTGTTTACCTTGCTCTGAGCTCCCTGTAAACTGGAACCAGTAGAGAGGTGTTTTTATGGGTTGAGATTTTACAAACCACTTAAGACGACTGGCAGCTCCCTTCTTATTAAAATTAATGACTTTGGGCATCAAAATCCCAGTGGTGGCTTTGAAAGTTTCTGCCTTAATTGTTTCCACTACCATCACATGAGCCACAGGTTGTAAACTTGATATTTCAGAACATTCTTTGGGAAGAGAATAAATAAACACTGGAGAAACATTAAAATGCTGTAACCTAAAGAGGGTTATAAACTAACCACCAGCATGTTAGAGTTGAGTCAGGGGGAACAGATCCACTGTGGCAACTGCATATTACATTGAGTTGATATTCATTCCATTATGCCTGCACAAATATTTTTAAAATTATTAGTAACTGCTAATAATTGCACCAAGACCTAAGAGGGACTTTTGAAAGCTGTATGTTGGATGCAAGCTTGCTCGTCTAAAAGAAAAGAAAGATAATTTTAAACTGATTTAATAAATCAGTTACAATGATTATACTATATTATACATAAAAATAGTAATTACAATAAAATAAACAACAAATATAAAAATATTATTATAATATTATAAATTAATTCATTATGAAATTGTTTTTTTTCAAATAGGACTGTCGTCCTACAGACATTCTGCCAGAAGGAAAATCTAAACCGAATATGGATATTTCATCCAAATATATTGCAAGAATATTAAAAAATGTTAATTTTATGTAAGAAAGATTTCGTATAAGATGATAATTTCCTCATTGATTTCAGCAAAAAAAAAAAAAAAGTTAATACAAATAATAGTTAAGTGCTAGATTTTATTTATATTCTGGATTTTCCCCCTGAAAAATAAAGGCAAAAACCTGCCATCTGCAATTGGATACCTGGACAATCGAGCTCTGCATTACGTGAAGCTTTACTGTTAAATTCAACTCCTCATTTCATGGACTATTTCGTGCCTTTCCCCTGGTCTCGGTCTCTGTGCACTCTGTTAGCACAGCTGCACTGTATGAAACCATGGGGATATAATGGACTTTTTTTTCCATTCCTTCACTACTGCTGAGACAGCTTTTCAAGATACATAGTTATTTTTAAAGTCAGGGAAAAAGCAAGGCTAGTATTCAGTTTGTGAGGCCACAGTGCATTTTCTGAAGAAAGAGTGAGAAAGTACCACCCAAATATTCTGGTCCACACAAAGATCTCAGAGATTTTTCATGAATAACTTGATACAATTCCAGGCTTAGAGGTTCCACCCATTTTTAAATGTATCATTCCCACACAGGGTGGTCTTGGAAAAATGAAAATTATTTCAGGCCCTTAGGTGGGTTTTTCTCATCTCTGACCTTAATTTCCTTTCCTGGGATGTCAGTCCTGCAAAACAAGTTCTCTAAAACAACCAAGTCCAAATAAGAAAACTTTGGAGTCTCAACAAATACCCTATGTGGCTTGGTCCTAAGGTACAGAAAGCAGTGAAAACAGGAAAACATTTATTCTTGCTAGTTCTTGAAAAAGCTTAATCCACAGACAAAGACCTCTGTGGTTTTCTTTCACTTCTGGTGAAATTTGCCATCCTTTTGTAATTCTTTCCAAGAATTAAAAGAACAAAACAAAACATGTAAGTTGTTTGGACTGAGCTGGATGCTCCATTAGGCTGTCTCAGCATTTCTCTCTCTGCCTTGTGGTCTGCAGTGTCACTCTGTGCTGGCACTGACCATTGAAAATTGACTCATCACTGGGATTTGTTAGGGCTATTGAGTGGATCTGGTCAGAAAAATGACATTAACACCATGATGTCCTGAAATATATTATTTTTACAATTCCCAGGCTTAAAACTGCACAGGTCAGGCAGGGCAGACCCCAGTAACGCCTCTGCCCCTGATCTGCCAGAGTAACACCATCAGTGTTTGGACTGAGTCCCATCAAGCCTCCCCATGGGCTTCCACAGGGCCAGGGAGGGACTTGCCCTTGCTGTATGCCTGTGCTGATGATACACATCACCCAGACAACAAAATCATCAACCTCACTTTTTTCAGCAATCTTGCGGTAACATCTCGGTTCCCTCAGATATGTGCAGAATCTTCTGAAATCCCAGTCTGCCAATTTGTTATTTGCATCCTGACCTTGCAGCACGAGCAATGGAAAAGTTTTGCTCAGAAGACTGCCATGCTTTGCACAGGCTTCCAAGCACAGCAACATCACTGAGGTTTTCTTGCTTCAGTTCTCAGAACTGTCAGACAAGGGGAGATTTTGTTTCATCGAGAGAGAAGCTGCGGTGATAGCAAGGAATGTGCGATGTGGCAGCTTCATCCTCATGCCACTGTTCCTGGGATGCAGCCGGCTGACGGCCAGACAGCGAGTTAAAAGCGTTTTATTGCGGATGGATTCTCATAAATTCCAGTTGGGATGTCTTTGTGAAGGCAGGAATTCGCCAGCCCCTCGCACACACCCTCGCTCCCCTCGCCACAGGCCACGGAGACATCTGCTCCTGGCTCTGCCTTCCCTACACATCTCTCTGAGACAGTCAGGCACACCACAACATGGGCACCACAATGTCCTGTCCCACAAAGGGTTTTGCTTTTTTCCCCCTCTTCCACACTAGGATGAAGCTCAGACTTCCAAAGCTCTTGGGAGAGAAGCAAACAAAAGAACAGAAAAGCAGGCTGAAATCCTAACCCACCCCAGCACTGCTCACAGGGCCTCTTTGCAGTGATGGGAAGTGTGGATTGGGAGCACA